GCTAGCCCTATCTTCTTTATCCCCTAGCACCTATAGGCGGTCACGAAATATTAGCCGTCCTTAGTCGATTCTATACTCGGCTATCTATCTTTTAAGCTCTAGCTTAGGGGGAAAACTCAGTTCTCCCGCTACTACTACGGTAAGGGCACCTTAATAACACTTATCGGTGGCCCTGGCTTTATTCTATAATCGCTATAGGTTAGGGTCTACTTCTAAGACCGTGGCTAGCTCCGGTAATATTACCTTTACTAGGTATACCCGGGGGGAGATAGCTATATCGGGGATTATCTAGATAGACCTCCCCTACTCTCGGATATCGGAAGAATCCTTAGGTATATCCTGCTCCCGATATAAGAGCGCGTTAGCTATAATATTATCGGCTCCTCGCTTATACTCTAATATAAAGTTATACTAGGCGAGCTTAGCTACTTAACGACGTTAGCGCTCGGTTAGGGCCCTTTTAGTTATAAAGTATTCGAGTACTTTATAATCGGAGTAAATCTAGAACCGGCCGCTGCCTATAAGCTCGGCTTTCTAAGCCTATAGGCAGTTTATAATCGCTAGTATCTCCTTATCGTGAATCGGGTAGTTATACTCGGCGGAGTTAAGGCGGCGTGAGTAGTATACGATAACGCACCTATATCCTTATTTATCTTCCTATAAGAATACGCTACCTAGCGCGAACCCTAAGTAATCCGTTTCTAGCCAGGTCTTCCTTCTAGGTTACTATTATTATAGATAAGGCTTTTCCTAGAACCTCTGCTTTAGCTCCTTAAAGGCTGCGTCTTATAGGGGGCCCTAGTAAAATAGGGCGTTCTTTTTCGTTAAGGCCGTGAGTAGCACTATAACGGCTACGAAGTCGCGGATAAATATCCTATAGAAGTTACCGAACCCTAGGAAACTTCGCACGCTAATCGCGGAGACCGGCGCTTCCTATTCTACGATAGCCTTAAGTTTCTCGGGGTTATAAGATACCCCTTTTTCCGCTATAACGATAAACCCTAGGTATTTAACTATCTTAACGCTAAACTCGTACTTGTTCGGGTTGAGGTTTAGTCTAGCGTCTACGAGGGCACTAAGTACTCGCTATACCTTCTCCTTATAATCCTTATAAGATCCGTCTAAGTATATTAGGATATTATCTATATACGCGGAGATAAAATCGTTAAGGAACTCCCGTAACGATAAGTTAATATATCGCTAGAATATCGTAGGCGCGCCGATTAACCTAAAAGGGTATACTAGCTACTCGAATAGTCTAAATTAAGTACGGAATTCGGTCTTATACTTATACCTAGGAGCTATCCGTATTTTATGAAAGGCGGCGACGACGTTTAATTTAGTAAACCACTTCGCCTTAGCTAGGTTATATAGGATCTTTATAATTAGAAGGAGTAGGTAGTAATCTCGCTAAGTAATCGTATTTAGGGCGCGGTAATCGTAGTAAAATCGGAGGCCGCCTCCTAGCTTCTTCACGAATAGTATAGGCGCAGTGGCCGCTAAGCTACTCGCACGAATAAATCCCTTATCTATTAGGTCCGTTATCGTCTTCCGTAATACGAGGAGCTTTTCACGTGATATATTATAGAGCGGGCCCTATAGTAAGGCTTATTTGTTACTACTATTATCCTTTTATAAATAGACCTTATAGTCGGTGCTAGGTCGGTATAGGGGCAGGCGTATAGAGTATAAGGGCGTAAATAAGTCGCCGAACTCTTATATAATACCCTTAAGGACGTATTCTCGCGGGTCTACTAGTTCCTTTATACTTAGGGCCTTTTCGATATCTTTTAACGATATAGCCCATAAGCCCTCTTCCTATCTTTTTCTTCTCCGGTGCTATAGTTATCTATATAGCCCTACGAATATAGACCCTATTATTAGTGCTATAGTACGGATCTCTTATACTGCCTTCGGCTCCTCTTCGCCTTAGAGTCGGATATCGATATCGGCTACTCCGTAGCGGAGCCTTTATTCCTTAGCGTGGAGGACTATATCGTTACGTTTTATTTATAGGAGTCTAAGGAAAAGATCCTAATCTAGACCTAGCACTATATACACGAAAACGCGCTCGGTATACCCTTATATATCTAGCGTAAAGACTATAATACTAGCGCTACTAGCTAGTTTAGTCTTATCCGAGAAGCCTTTTAGTAGTCGTTTCTTCTTATTAACTAACGGTAAGCGTATTCTTCGAGTAAACTTCTTATTTATAGCGGTATAGTAGTTATAACCTATATCTATATAAGCGTTTATTAATCTATTACTATTAATTCTTACTTAGATTAATACTAACTTACTTCGTAGTAGCGGTTTAAACTCCTCCTACTCGTGTTACTCTCGCGCCGTTAACTCCGGTGCCCGATTTCGCACTAGAGCTACTCTTTTTCCGAGTCTTTAGTATCTTCGGGAACGTCTTCGGATTCCTCCTCTTAAGAGGATATTCGGGCCACCGTATCCTTTTTACTTTTATAGTGCTATTAGACGTGGCCCTTCTTCTAGTAGTTCTAATACGTGATATTCGCGTAGCGGTTAGGTTTTTATTAGGTCCCCTTAGACTCGCCGACCTTATTAACTCTACCTATAGCGATATCACCGTTAGTATCCTTAACTAGTTTACAGGCGACGGGAATTAGTCGGTACAACTTACTAATACCCTCCTATCTCTACGCGATTATCTATACTTTATCGACCTACTTAGAGTAAGTATCGGGGAGATCGGCTACTATTAGGCTATTATATAGCCTATCGTTTAGGGTGCTATTAAGGAACGATATCTTAATATAGTCTACCTAGTTATAGCCTCCTACTTACGCTAGGTTCCTTTTAAAGGTCGGTAGGAAGCGCGTGAATAGCTAGTCGGGTTTTTACTTTATCGCTTTAAGGGCGTTAGTAGCACGGCCTTATTCGTTACGGTCCTTATACGTGCGGTTAAGGTAGGCTATAAATTCCTCCGGGTTAAATTCACCGTTTATGCCTCTATTACCGAAAAAGGTGCTAACCACCTATTAAGGCTAGGTATCTAAGCACGCGTTAATTAAGTACTACGCCTCCTTATTACTACGGAATAGCGGCCTATCGAGTTTAAGTTTTAGTCGTATAGCCTAAGACTAGGCGGTGTATTCCGTGCGTTTTCTACTAAATTTTACGGGAACGGCGACCTACTATACCCGGTATAAGAGTATAGGTGCCGGCGGCAGTAGCGGAATAGGTATAATAGTCTCTGCCTCTAATAGCCTAGATAAGGGCGAGGGCGTGATAACTAGGGTAGGCGTCGGGTATATAGTAGGTATAAGGTACGGGTTAAGTTAAAACCTTTCGAAGGCTCCTTATAGGCTAGCGATTATATTATAAATACGGGCGATATATATCCTTACCGCTTCCTATACGCGTTATAACACGCGTTTATCGATCTCGTTATATAAGGTCCCTACGACTTACCCTTAGCCCCTTCGTAGACTCGGGGCGAAGTGGCCGGGACCTCCTTTTATATAAGCGTTAAAGCTTATAATCTTATAAGTTCGAATATATAACGGCTTATTAAAAGTTATTCACGTATTAAGGCCGAAAATATAGATTATTCGAACTAAGGAGGGAAAGGAGGAAGGGAAAAGCCTGCGCGGTGTGTAGGCGGCTAAGTATATATAGAATCGCATGGACCTCGCTGGCTAGGGGGTCCGTGCTTCTTAGTCCCGGCTACTACCGGGGACTATTCTGCGGGCTATAGCCCGTAATAAAAAGGTAGGGTTAAGTAAAGAACTAGATAGGATTATAATAGGATTAGAATATAAGGGGGACTAAAGAATTAGATTAATCGCTAGCCTCCCCCTTTAAAGGAGAGGCTCCCTCGCTCCTTAAGACTACGCTCTACTTATAGAGGACTACTTATTTTTACTCCTCGAGGGCTACCTTATTTACTTTAAGGGATTATTCTATTTACTATATAATGACTTACTTTGTTTATGCCTCGAGGGGTCTCAGACTGGGCATACCTGGACCCCTGTGGGTTCACACTAGGGGCCTATTATGACCACTGCTACAGGCACCTAATAGACACGAGGGCCTACAGAGTATAAGATTCGCTAGATACGTTTAAGGAGGTTACTTACTAAGCTATATCGCGGTGTATAGATATACACTCCGTAAATAGATAGTTATAAGTAATATATAAAAATACGAAATAAGAAAGAAGCAAGCATAATAATACTATCTGTGCTAATTGCAGTCGCTAGTTGAGCGAATAGTTGGGAGAAATTCCAGGCCAGCTAAAAAAATACTTTACCTGCTCGGTACGTGTGTGTCACATCCTAACGGAGGAATTCTGTAACGATATATTGAGGGTCACGGTCCCGCGTGCGGCTGGACCCGGGAGCCACAAGCGGGACTCGTGCCTTGTTAGTGGTAAGCGTAGCGGGGCCCTTCCCTAGTCACTGTTGCGGGGTGCTTCAGATGTGTTGCAGAAGCATGGTGACTGGTCTGGATTAGGCTTAGGGTGCGTAAGGAAATAGTTCCCCTGCAGGGCTGCAGGAACGAGAAGGAACAAAAGGAACAACGACAGTGAAGCCTACCCCAGAACCACCTCCACTCTCCACTGCACAAGAGCCATATGGGGGTCGTGGCCATTGGAGTGGGTTCTGCATGCCGACCATTGGCAAGCGAGGCTCTTTTGAGTTAAGCCAATGCGGACAGACGTTTGATCGAATGCCGTCAAACCAACCCATGCGCCCCCCATGGCCCATGACATGCCCATTTTTGCATAATTTACCGTGGACATGGGCATGAAGTGAGGAGTCCGTGCCTTGCAAGAGAAGGGAAGCGGATAGATGGGGAGAGTGTGCGAGGGAAAGTATGGGGGCCTCTCCTCTTATGGCGTTCTTTGCGGGAGCGAAGGAAACAACTCCAGCCCGCAATTATTCGTCCTCACATGCCTTGCTTCTTCCCGAGTCCGTGCCTGATGAGCCAAGTATTTCGTGCCACCACTATTTTGTCGATGTACTCCTAGGTACGGAGTACGTGCATGCATGCCCTCCCAAGCCTCATACCGAGTTGGGTCGGTCCGTCTATCTGTCTCTCTCCATCTCCTTCCCCATCTCTTCAAGCTTCCTTCTCTCACCCCGCCGTCGAGTCGGCCAAACATTCTCACCTCCAGCAACTTCCGTTTTTCATTTCGTGTTTTTCATTGCTTTTCTTTTCTTTCACGAGCGGGAAGAAACTTGGGGAGCTTGTCTTCCCTGGAGTTCGCGTCGTAAATCCCCTTCCTACGGGATCACGACGTCTCGCTTCGCTGTCGGCTGGATCCTTCGCTGGCTTTTCAGTTTCTCTTTTCATACCACGTCCTTTCGATGGCAATCACCGCCCTTTGAAACTTCGCCTCCTTTTGTCCCCTTGGACGCTTCTCTTTCCTAGCATATTTCCCTCTGTCCTTTCCAGGAGAAGGGCGTCACTTCTTTTCAGATCTGGCTGCGACTGGACTCGCACCACTAGATCGCGACAATGTCTGGCCCGATCCTCCCCGATGGGTTTTTCTTCACCACGATAAATGGGAGACGATGCACGGCTGTGCCGAAAGCAGGAGCCATCACAACCGCCCAACTCGCGCCTGACGCGCCCGCGCCCGCGCCGACCCAACCCCCATCTCCGCCGCCACCTGACCCTCCTCGAGCTCAGTTGCCCGATCAACAGGATCCCCCTCCTCAAGAGCGACCTCCCGAGCGGGGCGTTCCATTTCGAGAACCCCCTCAGGCAGAACAGCCTCAAGATCAACCTCCACAGGCGCCCCTTGAACCGCCTCCGCCTCCGCCTCCGCCTCTGCCGCCAATAGAGGAAGTGCCTGCATCTCCAACAACGACCCCCCCATCTTCCACCAGAACGCCAGCGCCTGAACCGCCCCCGGATAATGCAACTATTCCATTCCGGACGATCATCCCCCTCCCCCAAGCCTCCCAAATCCAAGGCCCGTTGGTGCCTCCACTCCAGGAACCCTCGGCACAGCTCCCTCCCGAGAGAGAGACGGGAACGGGGGCGGTTGCTAGTAGCATTAATGGAGCGGACCCTACTTCGACCCTGATCCGGCCATCGGTAGTATCTGGCTCACAGCTGCCTGCTGGAGAGACCAGTCAGACTGACAGAAACGCGGTCCCCACCCAGATCAATCCGGGCGGCCCCCCTTCGACTACGGATGGCAGAGGGCTTTTGATTACGACTGCATCCTCTGCCCCGAGTAGTCAGCCCGGAGAGGGCGCCGCCGGGACCAGCAACAGCGGCGCAGAGATCCCCGGGATACCCCAAGGCATTCAAGAAAAGAGCGCCGACAGCAGCAGCAGCAGCAGCAGCAGCAATGGTAATACTTCGGGCTTGTCGCCAGCCGCCATCGCAGGTAGCGTCGTTGGAAGCGTCGCCTTTTTGACTCTGCTCGTTGTGTTCTTGTGGTTTCTCCGAAAGCACCGTTCCCGTAGTCGTAGGGTGGGTGCCAGTGCAGACTCGGGTCACGGAGAGGGGCGAAGACGACAAGAACGCCCGTACGTTTTCGATCAGGAATCTGTGGGACCGACTCCCAAGTCGGCTCGATTCAAGGCTGCGTTGGGATACAACTATCAGCGTTTCCGTGGTCAGCTTGGTGGATTTCTTGGGGAAGATGGCTATCGCGCAGGGGCCACGATGTTGAGCAGGGAGCGCTCGGGATCGCCTGTCATGTCGCAACATAGCCGCCATAACTCGGCTGTTTCAAGTGGTGGCGACGCCCAACGCGATATCCTGACGACTAAAGACCGGTTGAAAGATTGGTGGGACCGGTTGACGGCGGACGCCTTGTTCAACTGGCGGCTCCGTAACGACACAACCTTGGATCCCGACCCTTTTGCTTCTGTCCGCGAAAAGCAGAGCGAGACCACGGAACAAAGACGCACATCGAATGACTTCGTCTCTTTACTTGGTATGAGCGAAAAGGGACTCGGGTCTGAGGAGCAACGGCAGGGTGCGAATCGAAGAACGGGGAGCAGCGTCTCCGCAGATCATTTCCTGGGAGGCCTAGGGTTTAATGTCAACAGTGGAAACGCAAACGCAAACCCCTTTGCCGACACGAACGCACTCCCCGCAGAACCGGCCAGAGCGGCAGATGTGAACGTGAACCCGTTTGCGGATAGTAACGAGGTGCCGGCCGCCTCGACATCAGCGATGCCGGGGCCGTACCGTGTCGCGAACGCACGTCGGTCACGAGCATCAACTATTGCTGGTCCCGGAACGCGCCCGCCGAGTACGCTGCCACCCGTCTCCCCACAGTACGATTCACTATACCGAGAATCCGGCGGATCCATGGAAACATTCGACACACGGCGTAACCGGTGGCGATCTGACCCTTTCGATCTTGAGCGTCCCGAGCTACTGGGCCCGCCTTTTGCGAGGGAGCAGCGGGAAAGTGGCGAACCAAAGCGCCCTTGGCCCACGCACGCGAGGCATCAGAGTTCTGTATCCAAGTACAGCAGCGGTATCGGCTCGAACTGCTGGATTGAGCCAGGTCCGGACGTTGGCTCTGCCCGGCCGCTAGTGGGCAGCTTGAGCGGGCCTGGCAGCCCACCACCGGCCCCTCACTGGCGGCCGGCCATGCGATCTGACGTGCCGGAAAAGGGGGAAGCCAGACGCAGCATAAACGGCGATGGGAGCGTTGGCAAGGCCATGTGAAGAGTGTAGGGGCATTGATGTTACGTTGAGAATTGGAGTGTTGATGATACCAATATGGGAAGCTTGAGTTGAGAGAGAGAGAGAGAGAGGCAAGAACAGACGCCGGGCGCTAGCTAGGCCAATCGGCTCAGTAAAGACGTCGAGAAGACGTTGCGCTGGGGAGTTGGAAAAGAACGCTGTGAGAACGGAGGGTGGCAGAAGGGCGGGGATGAATGTGTTCTGGTTGGTTTGAACTGGCAGCCACTCCAATGAAGGGGAAGTTGGTACGCAAGGATGGAAGGAAGGAGTTGGCCATAGTGTTGAGGCACTTGTTACTTGTTCTCCAGCGAACAAATACAATCAGTCGCTACACCGATTTTCGCTCAGTCACTCGTACCTATACTTTCGATATTTGGGAGTGGGGCCGGCCGATACGGCAGGAACGACCGACAATGAATGACGACGGTGCCCTTCCAGCAGTTAAATGCCCCACCTTCAATACAAGCCTTACCGTTAAGGTACCTAAGGTACTTCGTAAGGTCCCGTTGCTATTCCATCAGCTCATGGTTACCTTGTATTTAACTTATTAGCTGGCATTCTTCTCCTACACCCCCGTCCTTCCCTTCCACACCGACCTCATTTTGCACATTGCTCTCCTGTGAAGCGTTGGCTGAAGATCTACCTAAAGCATCTTTGCTTCGAATCTTCAGGGGTTGCGTTTTTTTTTCTACGCATCAAAAAGTACAGTCCGGCAAAAGAATCGCGTGTCCTCTGCATAACATCAACTATCCGTACTCCGTACTTCGAGTCCCCTCTTTTGTCCGGTTCATTGAAACACGACACTTTAAAAAGGACCCGTCGAAACTCAACTCCTAATGTCATATTGGCGCCGGGTCGTTTACTAACGGGCTTTCAGCTTCTCCCGCGCCCAATTCGGTTTATCAGAATTTTGGAGAAGCCGATCAATCTCACCGCTCCATCGACTTTTCTTGAATACATGCATAGAGCCTGGCATTCTTGACGATATTTACCACTCTACCAATATATTGCCCTCAATCACCACTTGCGCCGACATCCTCTCGGTTCTCAGCTATATTACTCTCACACGAATCTAGCCGCCCTTCAAAATCGGGGCCTAAATTTCGTCATCACTTGACGGTTATTCATATCTTTTCCGTCGAGTATCAGCTACGTCCGTGGACACAACCCCCCCGGATCGCAATCGACTCAGTGTCAGTAATAAGAATTATACCGACATCAAAGATCCTTGGCGAAAGCAATCATGGCCTTCCATCAAAGCTTCTCTTCGGAAAACCGCACTTCCTCCGCTCCTTCCTCCGGCACCCAGACGCCCGTCCACACCTCTCATAGCCCATCCATGTCCTCCTCGATGATTTCGTCCATGTGGACCGGCCTCGTACGACACTTCACCATCGACGGTTCTGGTGACATGTCCCCCAGTCGCCAACCACCTCCAAGTCGCAGCCGCGGTGGTTCCGGTGGTCCTCCGCACCTAGCCCACAGTTCCACTGAGCCGACGCACCAGAAGGCCAAAGACGGCATAAATGATGTCTTCGTCCCAAGTCACCTTCGTCGCACCGCCAGCCCTTTCCGCCCGCCTCCACTCGACCCCATTCTCCTTCATGGCTACAAGGAGAGCACTTCACCTAGTGCTCGTCTACTCACAACCAACGTGGCAGAAGAGATTCGCATCATGCTACCTGAGCGCCTGCGCATCGTCGAGGACTGGAAGCTCATATACAGCCTCGAGCAAGACGGCGCGAGCTTGAACACGCTGTATCAGAAAGCAGCCATGGTCCATGGCCAACGGGTGGGATTCGTGCTCGTTGTAAGAGACGAAGCTGGCGGGGTAAGTAGTCAATTGGCGTCCACAAAGCTATTTGTCCC